ATAATTCCATTGATTCGAACTTCACACTTTATAAACCATGTGTCCATATCCATTTGCAAGCATATCGAAAACAACTCCCTACTTTCTCGAAGTGGAAAAACTTCATGGTCGTGTATAGGAAGCTCATTTATTCTTGCTCCTGTATAAGAAATTTTTCAAATGAGTTATTAAGAGATATGATCTCAACCTACGGTTCTTGAAAATCTGAATGCCTACGTGGGATGTTTGAATAAAATGCGTTCCAATCTCCCTAATATGAGCTTTCCACATTGAATTCAGTTTCTAGCATCATACTAGAAGGAAATTGGATATCTCATACTAGGAAGATTTAAATGGACTTCAATTATATCCTAATAAAAAACTTGTGCACTAAGTCTTTTACTAACTATTTTGTCAAACAATTGGCTAACTTTTGTTGTGACCAAATAAATTCAACCAATATCACCCCATTCGTGATTAAATCATGAATCATGCTATTTCTCAGACCTATGTGTCAAGACTTACTATTATAGATTTCACTATAAGATTTAGGTATTGTTGAAGAACTGTCACAACAAATAGAAATGGATGGTACAAGTTTTGGCCATAATGAACTCTCATATACCAAGTTATTAACCAATTCAACTTCCTTTCTAAGCACGACTAATGCTAAAAATGCGTATTCCGTCGTTGAACTTGTGATGCACGTTTGGTTCTTGGAAGCCCAAAAATTGCACATCCCCAAGCAAAAATGTCTATCTAGTGATGGATGAATGATCTTCCGTATGGTTTATCCAACTCGTCTCTGAATATCCTTCTATCACCTAAAGAAATTCATAGTACGATAAGCCATAGTTAATAATATTTTAATTATTTATTTCTCACACAATTTGAGGAACCTCCCCAATTGCAGTATGGGCATGCAGATTGTTTGTGCCAAACAGCCTACACTATTGTTGGTGTTTGGAACGCTGCTATCAATCTAAGGTAAGATTTGTAATCGCCAATAGATCTAGTAACAGAAAAAATTCAATAGAGAATTATCACATTCACTCCCGATTCTCTCATGAAGTTATAAACTCAAATTACAATCAATCTGAAAAATCTTATTTGAAAGTTAATTTGTGTAGAACTTCCAAATATTTCAATTCAAACAATTTCAATTGCATCAATTTCACATATTTGAAACATTCAATTCACAAATTTTAGCCATAAAACCAATCAAGCACTTGAACTCAATGTAAGTAAAGTTACTTAACATTAACATGCTTGAATTTATAGCCTACACTCAACATTCTACACAATGTCGATCACACATAATTATATACAAACATACCTTAATCATTTAAGCATTAAATACTAATTTTTTGCAGTAATTAATATCAAGTATGTACACATGTCTTGAGATTCAAGACATAAACGAGTAATTATTTATATTAATTAGAATTTATTCAACTTATTAAAATAAGTCGATTCCTCTGAATGGTGGTTTCCCTTTCCAATTCGGAAATCATATTTGAGGTGATTGAATTTTTCACAAATCCAACAAGCCAATTTTGAAATCTTCTTGGTTCCTTTGTTGGATTAAAAAAGCTTGCATTTCTTACCATGATTGAACTTGGAATTCTTCTTTCCTTTACATTTCTCAATCATGTTCACAGATAGTCCTGCAATATCATTGCCTTTGCCATATTCTTGCACTATTAGAGATTTCTCTACACGTATATGGCTAACAAGTTCTACAAGTATCAACTCTTCCTTGTGTTTAAGTGTTTGCTTAAATTTTTTCCGTGCAGGCGGTAACTTCTCGATGATGCATGAAACAATAATGGATTCATTCATGTTCAAGTCATGCTGCATGAACTAACCAACGATGCAAATGATCTCGTTGTACTACTCCATGACATGCCTCGAATCTACCATCTTGTAGTTGTTGAAGTTGTTGATCAATAATTTCTTGCTCGATGCGTCTTCAGCCATGTAATTAGATTCACGTGACCGATTCCATATTTTGAGAAATATCAAAAAGTGGATCTGATATTGCATTGAGAATATGACCGCGAAAAATTTAGTCATTATACTCCCATTTGCTCCTACGATGGGTTGCCTCTCAACGTTTCATCTTTGATTTCCTCAGGGCATACACCACCTTCAAAGTAGTAAGAGAAAATGCATCTTCTTCTGCCAAAAATGGAAGTCAATGCTTTTGAACTTTGTCAACTTGCCAAACTTCGTCATTCAAAGTTTCACATTCCATGTTTGTCTCGAAAAGATCATATTCGATTGTTGTGATTGTTATGGCTTAGAAACAAAAATGGTTTGATCACTTTCCGAATACGATATTTGACATAATTCGTACCAAAGATTACACAAGATGAATGTTGGGAATACATATCGAGACAAGATGAATGTTGGGAATACATATGTGCATGGAGACTAAAATTTCTTGCAGAAATACAATCATTGTACGTTTTTCTTATACTGCAATTGAGACCAACCATATTTTGTTATAGATCACAAGTAACCTTTCATTTAATTTAAACATACACAATGGGTCAACTAAAATTTCAATTTTAAAATGAATAAATTCGTTATTTCAATTGAAATATTAATTTGAATTCAAAATAAATTAATGTGTTATTCAATTCAAATATAAGTTTGAATCCATAATTTAAATATTAGCAGACACATCAATTTATAAATAATCACAAATTTTGAAATTAAAATTATGGAAAAATTTTAGAATAGCTCGTACCACTTAGTCATGTTAGTTATCATATTTTGTCCCATAAATTCAATTACAAAACTTCTAGACTGGTACACGACAGGCTTAGTCATGCCCATGACTAAGGTCGCATTTACACTATATCCCAAATTTGTGTTACTTGTCAAAATTATATAGAAACTAACTTCTTCAAGCGCAGACTCCACGCATCCCATCCCAGAGTTTACTTAATCTCAATATCTATTGATCTTGAATAAATCCAATTACACTAAAATCACTAACATCTATTATCTACTAAAACTATCGAAGATGGCCGGCAGCCCAATGAAGAGGAAGGAGATATAAATTACAAATCACGTCCAAGAAAATAAGCAACTAACGAAATACTGGTCAAACACATATTGAAAATGGATGAAAAGAATACGTGGGAAAATAGTTTGAAAATGGATCATGGACCAACAACACGTCCAGCACCAACATACTCCAAAATTTTCAGATTTTTTCTTTTTTTCTTTCTTTCATTTTTTTCTCTAAATTCTTGTTTTTATTCATGCATTTGTTTATGTTAATGCATTTCTAATTCTTGGAATTTTCCCTATTTTCATGCTATTTTTGGTTTCTTGTTTATCTTTTCTTGTTGCTAGATTTTTCAACATTTTTAAGTGCTAGTATATACTTTAATCCTACCCGTTGTCGCTTTAATTTTCAAATTATTATTCTGCAACTTCTAGTCTAATTCGGTGTATCTCTAGACGTAATTTGATTCATGGTAATCCAACATGATATTATCGATTCTGATTTACTGCTTTTTAGTTACGAATGATCATGAGATGAGGTTGGACATTTTTTTAGGAGGCTGGGAACCTCTTTTGTATCGATACTGATAGGTCCAACCCATTAGGTCGTTTCGGCGTCGATTTTCATCCACAACACAGTTTCCTTATAATTTATGCTTATTGAACATTATGGCTTGTTATTGAGCTCTCGAAAATTTTTAATGAGTATAGAAGATAAAGACACTGAAATTTGAAAGGCACGCGCGGAAGATTGAGTCAAAGCAGATAGTCCAAATCTAGAAGCTTTTCCAGGTGTAATCCACTTGGCAGCATCCTTTGATGTTTCATCAAGAAAAAGTTTAAGGCAGAGATGTCAAGTCGTTAGGCGGAAAGTTCCAACAATTTGTTCAATATGATAGACTGAGCTCGAGAATATTTCCTCACATGTAAATTTTGTGAAACCATACAGAACTCCTTGACAAGCTTCGGACAATAATTTTGCAGCTTAGTACTCGAAAATAACATGTATTTTTGCTTCAAATAAGCAGTTAATCCCAACTCAGTTAACTCAATTTAAATAGGCTTGTGAAACTTGCCACAATAATCAGTTCTCCCATCACATGTGGGGGGTGTCTCACATATTCCTTTTATGGCTTGAAATCGATATTGATATATTAAGACTTAGCAATAAAGAGAATTTTCAAATCTGAAATATGGGGTGTGCACATGAATTCAACCATGCCGAAAGCTCAATGGCTATATTGCTATTTAAAATGACCATCTTCAAACTCTAATCGCGGCTGTTGGATTGAAGGTCAATCTAACTAATCTAATTAAGCACCATTTTTTATTTATTTATTTAACAATGACAACAACATGAACTAGAAGAAATCTGAGATCAATCATGAAATGTTAGTTCTAGTCGAATTGGCAAACTTGACTTGGCAATCAAATTGAATGTCAAGTCTATAGGTTCATCTATTAGTGTTGACAACTTGTACTTTAAACGTCTTTTATTTATTATACTAAACACTTATGCAAATCTATTAGTGTTGGCAACTTGTGTTAAACCACTTATTAACATAAGATTATTGTACATGTGGCTTGATGGTGATCTTGAACTCTGAATATCATAGTGTAATTAAGACATCAGGTTAGCTATTTATAAATTTATTTTTATTTTAATCATATAAGACGGTGGAGCTGAAGTTTTATCGATGGCGATAGAGAAAGAAATGTTCCTAGTTATGATGTAAGTACAACACCTCACATTGTTAATTCAGACATCCCCTTGATTGATTTGCTCGATGGAAAGAGTGTAATTGTTAATTGAATTTCAATATAAAGAATCTACAAGTTCACTGAATCAACTCAAGCTCGCCTTATACCTGCTCAATAAAGTCAAATGATGGAACTATGGCAACTTGGATTTCAACATGGCAATTTGGAGCTATTTAATACCCTAGTTTGTTGGGCCATCTCTTCTTTCTAAAGTTTATTTAAATAAAGAACCAGCTTTACTCTGAATCTCTCAAGAAAAATGAAGAAGTTGCAAAACAAGCTATATGAGGCTGCCACAGAAGGCAGCGTAGCCTCATTGCGGGAGCTGCTCGAAGAAGATGCACTGATTCTTGAAAGAGATGATTATGTAGCCGAGGGTTTCTTGGAGACTCCTCTGCATGTGGCAGCCATGTTAGGAAATGCCGACTTTGTCAGGGAAATGGTTAGGATTAAACCTCAGCTTACGGCTGAATTGGACTCACAACAATCGATTCCTCTTCATTTGGCTTCATCTAAAGGCCATGTGGATGTAGTAAGGGCACTGTTATCAGCTGATCCACGAGCAAGCCTTGCTCGCGACAGAAATGGTTTTACACCACTTCATCTAGCAGCAGTTAGAGGCAGGCTTGAAGTGATCAAAGTGTTGCTTCGAGAAAAGGTCGATGCAGCACAACTGAGGATACATAGAGGTGCAGGAGAGAATATTCTTCATCTGTGTGTCAAACACTATCAGCTCGAGGCTCTAAAGCTCCTGCTCAACAAAGCCTGTGGTCGGGAATTAATCAACGCGAAAGACGCTGATGGAAACACTCTTTTGCATTTAGCCATCGCTTATAAACAAGTCGAGGCAAGTGTTAGGTGTAATATAGTTTTATGTGCAAATATTTCACATGTGACAGACGTTCCATTAGTTACCTTTCTTCATCTATTTCTCATTGATATAAATTCAACTTTTGAGAAAAAATTATTATTTATACAAGATTAGACTCATTTTAGATAGAGATTATTAGAATTTTGAAGTTTTAAATATTTTTTTAAATACTAAAATATTGACTATTTAATATAATATTTTGCAAGAAAAAATAATAGTTTGAATTATATATATTTTTTTAGGCAGCGGACTCTTTGTTGGGTCAAATCACCAGGTATACAACATATATTTGACACAATGAAGCATATTTATAATACAATAACACCATATTGGCGCCCATATTTAAATGTTCCTTTTGATGAATAGTTGTCAAAACTGCACACTCCTTATCCAGTTACATAATGTTGCTAGATTTCTTAGCACCATATGGTATGACAATTGTATAAATATAAGCTTCTATACTCTTGAACAGACTGTTGAGTTTTTGCTAGCCATGCCGGCACTTGATGTGAAAGCTCGAAATCTAGGTGGGATGACGGCTACAGATGTATTTATTGGAAGCAGATGTGATATAAGAGATGTACACATTCAAGAATCCTTAAAGAAGGCAGGTGCACTTGGAGCAAAAGACCAAAGAGCGATGGATCGATCTCCATCTTCGTTTCTTGATCACCATCTTACATCCTCAAGCATTAAGAAGAGCACCCGAAAACATCAAGATGATTGGTTAGAGAAGAAGCGCAGCGCCCTGATGATTGTGGCTTCACTGATTGCAACAATAGCTTATCAAGTTGGAGTGAACCCTCCCGGTGGTGTTTGGCAAGATGACAATCTCGAAAGCAATTCTAAGTCCATTCATGTTGCAGGCATTTCTATAATGGCGCGTAACAACCCCGTAGGCTACACTAAATTTTACATCGTGAATACAATCAGCTTCATATCATCTCTCAGCATTATTTTGCTTCTGACGAGCGGATTGCCCATAAAGCGTAGGTTCTTCGTGTGGATTCTTATGGTCATCACGTGGATTGCAATTACAGCCACAGCCGTTACTTACATTTCTGTATTAGCACTGCTGGCACCTCCATCAATGCAAGATAACTATGTCCTATATGTGATTGGGATTTCGGTCGTTGTTTGGGTGTTGTTGATGGCTCTCCTCCTCCTCGGCCATACCATAAGATTGATCATCAAACTTTTTAAAAAGATGAGTAGAACATTGAGGAGGAGAAGAGTTGCAAACCCCACCATTGATAGTGTTTAAACATTTGTGAGTTTGTCTACTCCGAATGTAATTTCCTAGTGTTAAAAGATGCAATATATCGAAATTGCGCCGGTGATGCAAATAATCATGGATTAGAAATAGTACGACAGGTTACTATTTTCATAATTGTTGGGGACTCCCGTTTGCGGGATATGTAACTAATGGCTTAGTTTCCCTAATAAGTTCGAGCTTTTAGGTTAGACGGTCATTAGCATCCGACATGGTATCAGAGCCTAGACTAGGTCTCGAGTTCGAGTCCCGCCCGTCTCCATTTGTGGCATATGCATGTGCAAGTTTCGCAGACCCACTTGCACCTGAGGGGAGGTTAGACGGATGAAGTATTATTATTTTTTATCTATGCTCGAAATTAGATGAAATTTGCATGGTTAGTCAGAAATGGCCTAATAAGTCAAAGTCGTCATTTTTTCATGATATTTTTTGGCCATAAGAGATCCTTTATATTTCCGTGGTCTTGGAAATTCAATATTTTTGGCTTAAAACTTCTAGCCCGGAGGATTGGTGGGTTCTCGGCCAACTCAATCTGAATTGTTGGTGGTATGCGATACACTTAGGAAATAGCAAATATAAATTGACTCAAGAACAAACGGACCAAACAAATGGTATTCGATTCAAGATAAGAAAACACAAGGAAATTAAATGATAAATTTGTTGGATGAGATGTGTTTCCCCCTAGCACAGCTCGGCTTATCTATTTTATTTCTTTCCAAGCCATTATGCTACTTTTCATAAGGCTCGTATTCAACACTCCATTTAGTGCACAATACCTTCTACTTACTTAATGGACTAATGGTCATTTAATCTCTTCATAATGATAAGAGTAATGGCCAATAAATCCATATTATATAATCCATCACCAAATCCATGTAACCTCATTATAATTGCTTCTTTCATTACTCATGATTATCTTCTTGAATGTCATATGAGTTCCTTTTATTTTCCTTCCAACAGTTCAACAAGAGTTCTGTAAAGTTGGCCTTAATTTATTTTGATCTCGTTTGAGTTGTATGCGACCCAACCTTAATCAATTCATTTCGTCTTCTTGCCCAAACCACTTAATATTTTTATCGGCACACCAGAATATTTTTTGCGCGCTAACATAATGCCCCATATATTTCACAAAATAATGAATCCTAGACATACGAAATAAATTTTATGAAATATATACCTGAATCGCCAGAAAGGGAACAACTGACTGACTTGCCACAAAATAATAGCTCGCCGCAATAAGTTTCCATTCATTGGATCGACTTGGCAACCAACCATACCAAAAAAATGCCTCGCTGAAGTTGGCAAAGACATTCAATGCCAACTCCGTATAGCAAGTAATGCGATTAGATCCAAACTCATCCTTTCCTCACTTCTCGACTTAATTGAAATGATCAACTCCAAATTAGACATCATTGGCGGCAGTATGTGCGGTCAAAAATCTATTTTAATCGACAATAGATGCTCAACCAGCAGCTTTCTTGCCAGCATGAACTTTCCCTTGGAAGAGTAATAACAACATCGGTGAGTCAAGCCCTTTAACCGCAAGCGATCAAGATCAGAAAATTGGGCGCAAATCCAGCTTGTTCCATCATGTCACCAAGGTTTATTTCAGCAATGTATCTTGATCCCCGAGCATTAGCGATATCTACAAAGCTGGAAAGAACAGCTCAAGCCCTTTATATTTTCCTTGCTCGAACATCATTGAATTTTGCTTGGTCTGCACGTTGCTGAATCCGGAGCCTTATTTCAAAGCGAGTTGCGTTTAGAATGCATTCTATGCCAAACTCATTACGTGCAACTTGCCAACTTCTTGTATGACGTCTCGCCTATCGATTTTATCTTTTTTCTTTATTTCTCCACTTCTTCCATGAATCGCCACTTCTTCAAACTTCTTGGGAGCATCAGAATGTCAATCCAAAAGTCTGGGACTAATTGGTACCCACTTTCTGATCAGTGATTGGGTTTCCGACAATTGAGCATTAATCAGAATCCATTTTTTGCATGGTCGTTTTGGCGACTACTCTCAAACTTGGTTAGCTTTCATTTTGGACATTTGGCGACCAAGTCAACTTCTTTTTGCTTATGGAAACTAGTGATTTTCTCAAATCCTCTCACTATCGTCCATCTCCTTTCGCCGCAGCCCGTTCGCTGACCAAGTTGAGTTCTTTTTCACCCATAGCAACTCGTGACTTTTCTAGATTCACTCGTCACTGCCAAGTGACCCATTTGACGATCAGATTGAACTATAACTCATGGAAGCTAATGACATGTTCAGATCCTCTCTTTCCACCACCCTGCACTAAGCAAATTAGTTTTCAAATCCGGAAAAAAATACAATACCAATTCTTTGATCAGAGTTATTTCTGGCACGTATTTTTACACTTCCTTTTCTGGTGACAGGAATTATGGAACTATCTCCAAATTTCACGGTGTTCCTGAATGATTCATCCAAATCTGAAAACATGGAGCGATCTCCACATATATGATTGCTACACCCTGTGTCGAGATACCATATATTCTTTTAAGTGTCTTCGGAATTATGATAAGCCATCAAGAGAGATACTTCTTCATCCTTTTTCTCTGGCACCACACTCTCGATGTAATTTAGTTCTGCATTCAGATTTGTTGTGACCAAATTTATGACATCAAAAGCACTCTATATATGTTGGACTTTATTTTGGTACCACTTGAATGATGATAAGCCTTCCCCTTTTGAAAATCTGAAGCTAAATCATCATTTATGTTGATACGTGTGTTCTGGTCCTTCCATTTTCCATTTCCCTTATTTGAGCCTCTAGAATAAGTTGATGTCAGTACGGAGGGCTTGAAGTTGAACACGTTTTGCCTTTACACTTCCGCGGTATTTCTGTTTTAGAGAGTCCCAAATTTGTTTGGAGGTATCTTTACAAAGAACCATCTTCAAAGTAGGACGATCAATTGCCTGAAATAGGTAATTCTTAGCCTTCAAGTCATTAAATTTCAATGTTTCTCTCTCAGCCCGCCTTTCATCGGATAATACGGTACCCTCTAGCAAATCTGGTACTCCAGATTCTACAACACCCCAATATTCCTTTGATCTCAAGAAATTTTCCATAAACATGCTCCAATGATCATAGTAACCATCGAGGCGAGGAATAGATGCCGGGACAAACGATGCTTCGGTTTCCATTGCTACAAAAAATTAGTAATCAAAGGTGGCTCTGATACCACTGTTACTCGGAAAGAAAGGAATATGCAATGAGAGATTTCTTACTTGGTTTCATAGAGATTTTTAAATATAATATATAATCAACACTAATTATTAAAAGGCATAAAATCAGCCTCTAAATATATTCCAGAGATTTGCTATATCAATGGATAAACTAATCAACCAAATGGTATCGACTTTATTTAGCATAACTAACATAATCAACACTAACACTATAGACACATAATTAAATTTATTTTCAAAATGATATCAACGAAAAATATAATTATTGCGAGAAACTCAAGAAATGACAAAAGACAAACAATGACACAAGGACAAAAGGATTTAGTAACCCAGTTAGATAAGAATGATTTACGTCTAGGGGCGTTGCCAAACCAGGAATTTTACAATAGAATACGCAGACACATGTTAAATTGAGAATATATGGATATTTATAGGCTAAGTCTATGCCAATAATATATCCAAATCATATCTCTAAAATCTAGAATATAATGTACAAATCATATATAATTATATCTCTAGATTTTAGGATATAATCAGACTTCATATCTCAACAATCTTCCAACTGATTGCATCTTCCATTTCAACATTTTACTTCATCAGCAATGATAGTGTCAAGCCTTCTTCTTCACTCATCGAGGCCAAATGAAGTTGAACACAACTTCAATTCATCTAAGGTCTTCACCTTAGGTTGTCTTCCAGGAATCGGCAACTTTTCCTTTTCAGCTCTCTCCCACCCTTTGAGAACGCCACATTTCGTTGCTTCCCAAAATACAGTCCTCGCATATTCCAATATCAACGTATTTGAGACCTAGCAATAATAATAAATTCTACAAAATAAAATTATTTTAATCACACATCCAATGAACGGGCATACACCCAAAGTGTATCATCACTTGAAAATAAATGATATGTTGACTATTATAAAACAAATAATCAATAATAATAACAACACAACAACTACAATAATAATAATAATATTTTCTCCGTTCACTAGTAAACTTTTTATTTGTCATTTTAGTTTGTCCAAATCAAATCTTTTTGTTTCATTTTTTAGAAAAAGTAACTCTTAAATAAATACCAAAATATCCTTGATTTTTACTTTTCAAATTACTTTTCAAAGGTAAAATGAAACATTATATTACTTTATTACACTACATATATATATATAATACACATTTATATAATCAGTGTGCAAAAGTCCAATAAAAACTTTACTAGTGAATGGAGGAAGTAACTACAAACTCCAAATGCATCGTTCATTGAAAAATCCTTGCATGAATAAACACAAACAAAAATAAAATTTAATTTAAATTCTAATAGGTGCAGCGTGCGGGTGAGGAAAAAAAAGGCAGGGAGAGGAAAAAAAAAAGCTTGTTAGGGTCTAAAATCTAAAGATATAATCTTCTTCAACTTGAGGCCCTGAGCACTTATGTTACTCTCCTAGGATCCGGGTATGATTGTTATTAATAATAATATTATTAATATTATTAAATTTTCTTGTTTTATTTTTAGAAATATTCAAATCGTTGTTGAAGCTAAACAAAAGTCTGGTTAATTAGGCTCAGTTAGTACTACTAAAATTTAGATTAAATTAATAGTATCTAGGGTTTAGGGTTTATTTAATGTTGCATTTAAACATAATATGCTCTTTTCAATACAAATGATTGGATTTTATAACTATTATACTTTTTCTGTCCCTTAATAAATTAACTATTTTTCTATTTTGGTTGGTCCAAAACAAAATATTTATTTCATTTTTTAGTATTAAAAATACCCTATCTACTATTAAAGATATCCTAAACTTCTACTATACTACCAAAATGTCATTAACTATTTTTAACCA